TATTTCTCCAGTCTCCAAATTCTTAATTTAAATTAAGTAGGACGGAGACCTATGCTGTTCTGAAAGAAAGTTTATAAATGAAATTTGCTGATCTTACTTTTTTCCTCTTTTGAATCAGACTGAATTTGTCCAGCAGCTGCCAAAGACAATCGCCAGGAAAATCAGACAGAATGAACTGAGGAACAAGGAGTGGGGACAGATTTAGTTTTGATAAGCAATCTAAAAAAGCCTATCCCTATCAATTTCATTCATAATGGAGCTTTTCTGTTACAACTACAAGCACCAACATAGGATCATATTTCACCCATTAGGCAGTGATTGTGTAATAATGAACAAGGTTTAAAAACTCCAACTGTTTGGTTTTTAAATGCTTGTGTTCTTGCTTAAAAAAAAATCAAGCAAACACACATTCCAGCCACTAACACTTTTCAGAATTACAGTACAAGTAGAAGTGATTACCAGGTGAAGGAGCAGTGTGTTCATTTTAACTCAAAAGAGGCTTATTAATGAAGAAATCACGATAGTATATAATGAAGTTCCCAGAAATGGCCACAGATCTTGCATGCATCCAAATTAAGCTCGCTGCTTGTATGAATCTTGAAAGCCTCAAGGTTTAGGAATTACTGAACATTCAATGTTAACACATTAAGTGCAAATTATAAAAAATCAGAAGGAAAAGAATGTGGACATCTTTAAGACTGCAGCATAGGCAGCATCTAAATGTCAGACACAGGCTTGACAAATGGATGGTAGCTATTCAGCAGTTTCTTCTGAAGAACTGTAGGTCCTGTGGGCACACAGATGAGTGAGAGAAGGAAAACAAACCACAAACTATCCCTGAGTCTATCTTTGTCCTTAGTAAGATAAGCAAGTAGGCTGCCTTGAATCGTGATCACCGACATCAGCCACCAATAAACATTCACAGTTGGCCTTCGTTCTGGTCTCATATAGTTCTTTCCTATGTGTGACCTAGACATTGCTGGCTTCAATCCACACGCAAAAAGCTTTAAAAGTTAAAGAAAACACCAATGGAGGTAAGAAAGCAGAGTTTTAATAAATGGGTGGTAAAAGTAATTTTAATTTTCCAACTTCTAAAACAATTTCGAGAGAAGAGGAAAATATAAATTAAACACTATTGAGAGACGTGACACATCCTTTTCATTAAACCACGACAAGTAACAAGTGGTGTTCTTCAAGATGAGTCTTTTCCCGTTAGCAACCCACAGAGTTTATGCTAGAACTGAAATACCAAAGCTAGACAGTTGTACAGGAAGCATCCTCAAAACTCTACTGGAAAGCAGGTTATAGCTGCACTGGTTTTGGTTGTTTTTTTTTTAAAAGTCACTGGGATATCAAAAGAACTGCTGTTAACAGACAGACAATAGAAAGACTCACTAACATTACTTTCAATCTGAAACAAAATTAATACTGTAAAGCTAAAACTGTACCAAAAATTAAACTTAATTCCCCTTATCCAGTAGAGCATAATGGAGACCTTCTTTTATAAGAAGTTTCCAAGCAGTATTTAAATTCAAATTTTGAGATCTAAAAAACAAAAAATAAAAACAACAAAAAGACTTTATAAAACCACCAAAGGATTAAGTCTTTGGAAAGAGCAGCAAAAGGCTATTTGAAGGAAATTACTCAAAAGGATTCTGTTCAGTGACTACAGCATTTTCTATAAACCCATAACTGCTGTATACACAGCTAATGTAAACACACATGTAGTTTTTGCTAAAACCATCTGCAATGCCTGCACTGTACTTCTACTGTTCTAGAACAGTCAAATCTATTACTCTAAATCGTCTCATAGTATTCAAGTAATTTGATCATAGCAGTTCTTGCCATTCATTTTCAAGACTTAGCATATCCTTGTAGAGCAATGTGTGTGTGTATATATATAATCATCCATCATACAGGAGATGATCAGGTTTAGCTCATTCTGTTGTTCACACAGAAAAATGTATCTGAGTTCTGCAGTCACACAAGTTCTCATATCACTTCCTTAAAAACCCTCTGCAATCAACTGTCTTTTTTTTTCAGATATCTCACTTCTGTCAATACTTCCTGACAGAGCTGATTCTGCACTGCCTTTTGGATTCTGTAGCCATCAGATATAACAAAGCAGAGTCAGTATATGTCAGGATGGCCACATTTACATATGCATGCATAGACTCCTGCTTTTTGTACTTGGTAAAGGCAATGCAGAACAAAGCTGTAGAAGAATGACAGCAAGCTTCACCAGAAAGGTGAAGAACTCTTGAACACTCTTACATCTGCTGTAACGTCAGCTCCACCTGCAATGAGCATTAAAATTCTTACACGTGGATTTTAAAAACAAGATTTCAAAACAAAACCCACTCTCCTCTTTAAAACACCCTTTCAGAACTCTAGGGCAACTTTAATAGGTTTCGATTGTGTTTACCTTTCCCTTCTACCACATTTTCTACACTGTCAGTGCATTGTTCCCCTTGGGCTCAGCTTCTGTTTCACCTTGATTCTTGTTCTCTTGTTTTACTTCTTCTGAGCTCTTCTCCTCCTCGGTTTCTGGTTTTACTACCTTCGAGTTCTGTTCTTCTGTCAGACTTGATGGGTTTTGTAGTGTGTTGTCTTTGTTGCTCTTCACCACCTCTTGTAGATTGTATTTTCTGAACAGAACATAGTCTCTCACCACACTCAAGCAACAGACATTTTTTATTATTTCCACCACAATTGTGTATTGTGGGTTATTAAGATCAACTTTGTTTTCTGGATTGAGGCTGCCCACAATTCCTGTAAAACAAGATGTAGTTTAAAAGATGCTGGAAAAACTTCTTCAGAGCATAAGCATGCCCTATTGAAAGGACAGCGAGAAGGCAACATCCCCCTTAGTTGTAACGAATTACTCATTTTTGTAATTGCTTAAAATAGCAGAACAGAGCAGGACTCTTGGATTATACCACCAACAGGACTGAAGTAACTGAAAAACTATCCCACTGCAATTACCAAGAAACAAAGTACTCGAGTAAGGTGGAGCTATTTTATGGAAATAGTAACACATTATTTCAATACAGCATCCATAGAGAAAGCCTGATAGCAGTAATTTCAAACCACATATAACTGGCACTCCAAATTATATTCAACACTGTACTCTCTTCTGCTTGTTGTCTCTCAGGACATCAACACCAACAAGGAATATTGATGTCAAGCTTTTTTAAGTCTTCGAGAAGCTTTTGTAATTCAACACACAGATTTTAAGCAACAAATATGTACGCCCATTAAGACCACTTTCAATAATCTGACGTATGTTACACATGCAGTTGTGGGCTGCTTATATACTTGTTCTTAGTTTTGTGTGAAATCCATACATACCTGCCAATTCCTTAATTACTTCTTCCCTACTCATATGACTGTTATTACGAGCTTTGTAAACAATCTGAAAAGTACCCTTATTAGGGGCTTTAAACCAAGGCTCAAAAAACGTTTCTGTGTATTTTTTCATATCCTCCATAAAAGCCTTGCAGGTTCCAGAAATGGGTAGCATGCGCAGAATAACTCTTGTTTTCTTCTTTTTAGTGGCATGCATATCCTTTAGTATATGGTGCACCAGGTTCTCAGGTTCTACAAGAAAAACAGCTAGGTATAAGAAACAAACTGAAGGCGTTTTCCCATCTCTTCCCCCCCTCTAAATAATAAGCTGGGGAAACGCATGCTTGGCTGCACCGCTGTCAGCCTCCAATCCTTTTCTGTAAAGAGTTGTTTTACTATATCAGAATTGAATAATCAAAGATTATTTTGTCAAAGCAGATTCCTCTACCTTTAGCGACTGTGCTAATGACAAAATTCAGCGGCAACACCAAAGGGAATGGGAAACCCTGTATTTGTTTGGTATACACGAGTTTCTTGGAAGTCACACTCTGTGGCCTGTTACTAGCACCGTTTAGAGCAGTTTAACCCCACAGCATTACGCAGCATCAGTCGATATCCCACCTATGCCCTGGGTTCTGATGAAGACCACGTTGTTGGCACCACTCTCCACCGACTGGAACCGCCGCAGCTTCTGCTCCGTCGAGGCACGGATCTGGCCGACCTCCTTCTTCAGGGCAGCCTCAACGTCGTCCTCATCCTCCTCCCTCTCGCTTCCAGACAGCCGCTCCTCGTGATCTGAAAACTTCACACCAGGCCCGTCTCTCGTTTGGTGAGCACCGAGCGACGGCGCCCACAACTTAAAAACCGCCAGCAAGGCACCTCCGCGCCCAGGGGCCTGGAGGCGACGGGCACGGGCCTCTTCTCCAGCCCACCCGAGGGGCTGCGCTGGCGCTTGCTTACAGAAACCGGCACTTTCGTGTGTGTGGAGAACACGAGCGGGTTTTTTTAACATCCGGAAAGGCAGAGGAGGCCTGGCGGCGCTGCCCTCCCCGCCCCGCCGGCGTTACCGCTGCCCCGGTCTGCGGGGAGGCAGGACCCGCGGGGGGCGGCCGACGCCGCGCTCCCCGGCCTCCGGGCCGCGCTCCC